ATGACTTCAGATGAGCGATATATTGAAAAATCTCGCTTTGATACGGATTGTAGCTAGACGTTCGTCCACCGGGGTGATCGCCTGTACTCGGCGACGGAGTCTCTCTCCCACCACAAATCCCACTCTGACTTTGCTCTCTTTTACGTGGCAACTATAGTAGACGTTGCAAGGCTTCACGCTTACCGTGCCTGTCCACGTTCCTCGCATTTCTTGGATGGCGGTGATGTCAGCCTTTGTCTTCCCGAGGGCATCGAACAGCCGGGCAGAGGCCCCTTCCCCATTAAGGGTCCGGATATTCGAGTTGCATACCCTCTAATCATAGTCCCTTATACATTTGCCGTGGTCGTCATCAAAAAAAGGGGGTCTCATCTGAGGCTTTAAGTTCTTTTTGATTGGACGGAGTTTTAACGTGGCGGGACCCAAACCCAGCGCACACGAAGTTTTACGCCTTCTCACTTTAGCTCGCTCTCAAACGGGTGTTTGGTTGCTACCCAGAGGATACGTACATACGCACACGAATCACTTTTGGCTACTCCCAGGTGAATGACAGTCAAAAGCTTTCCACTTCTGCGCACGGAACCATCCTGCATAATTAGAAATAAGTAAATTTTTCTGAGGTTAGTGGTTGAACTATGCCTGCGATGACCAGATTTCTGTGACCAAAAAGCGGGCATTTCTAAAACATCGAATCCGAACATACAATTTTGTTTTTAGAATAAAAAGACATGACATCTTTTAATACATATTTATTTAAAACAAAATAAAGCAAATGATCGCAAAAATGTATACCCACAATACAATACGATGGCGAGAATGTAAATAGGAAAAATACATTTTAGCAAGTTTTGGCTACTTTCGGTTGTTTAAAAAATGTTTTTTATTTTTTTATGAAAATATGACTTACTAGTTTAAAAAAAACCTGTAAATCAAAACTTCAAACTTTGTGGAACATTTGTAAAATTTTTTTGTATAAAGAAACTGAAACAAAAAAAAAATACCAAAAATAAACGGTAAGTTCTAGCTACTTAAAGTTTGCACTTTGAATTGAAATCTAATTAAAAAGCTCAAAATTTTGATGAACCTTTGTCAAATTTTGCTAATTTTTGTACAAAGGTTGAAACGTTGACTCACATGGTCTTTGTTAGATGACGAGCAACACTTTCATAAAAAATAATGAACATTAAATAATAGAAACGGAAATAGCCAAAGAATGCTAACATATATCTTCTCTTTTTATATTTCGCCACTGTATCTACAGCTTATATTTTTTATATCCATGATTTTTTTGTGGAAATTAGAATTATTTTTTATAGTTTCACTAAATTCAAAATAAAATCGTTTAATTAAAAAAATACTTAACAAATAATTAAAAAAACATTTAAAAAAATTTGGGAAGAATGATAGACTGCAATATATCGAGATTACCAGTTTGACAGACTAAAACATAACCAAAGATCATAGAAAATAAGGATGCTGGCAATGTTTATGGCTCCGTTATATTCTGTGCCCTTTGTGATAACGAAAGTGCTGCCACGTTTCATCGAAAAATTGTTTTATGGCCAGAGTACAGGGAGACTCTTATTAAATGAATAAAGAAAACTCTGAATATCGGGACTTAGTCGGTACACATATGAAAAATCGGGACACTTACGCGTCCCGACTTTAAAAAAATATTCAGCGGGACAATTTCCTCAAAATCGGTACGAATAGTCACCGTAGCTATACCGTACTGGGAATGCACTAATCGCAGGCTATGGTGTTCATTGAAATCCAACAGTTGAGAGCACATTTATATGTCTGGCTGTAGCTGAGTGCGCAAAGATGCTTGCCTCAATTTGTTTATTTTCAGAGCGTCATTGCCCGAATTCCGTTACCCCCCACTGCCCTTTTTTAACTTAAAACTTTTTTAAAAATAAGTAAAATTGATTAAAGAAACACAAGCTTTCCAATGCCGAGTGGCAAATTACCGTGAGGGTCAATTTCAAGATCACCTCGAGGTCAACATGTTTTTTTTTTTAATTGGTAACTCCCCTTTTTTATCTCAAGTTCAGAAACAACGGAAAATTTTGCATTCAGATAACATATCATATGTGGGGTTTATTTAACCGTCAGGGTCATATGAAGCGTCAATCTAGGAAGATTATGTCAATATCATTATGTTTTTTCAACAAATTTACTAATCGTTGTTGGGTTACCAGTCTAAAAACCATGTTGACCTCCAGATGACTTTGAAATTGGCCCTCACGTTGTTTTGCCACTCAGCATTGGAAAGCTTGTGTTTTTTGTGAAAATTACATTTTTTTAATTTTAAGTGTAGAGAAAAATGGGCAGGGTGGGGGTAACGATCAGAAAGAATATCTTATATATCGATGGCTGAGTGGAAGATCGACCTATCTCGGCAGCCAGTTCGAAAACGCTCTATCTAAAAAAACTTTTCAAGAACGCCCTTCTTCAGAATTTAATTGAAAAACTCCTCATCTCAAAATTCGGTTCAAAAACGCCCTATCTCACATCAAAATGTATTGAAAATATGCTGATATAGGGCGTTTTTGAATCGACAGTTGAGATAGGGCGTTTTTGAAACGAGTTCTGAAATAGGACGTTCTTGAAAAGTTTTTTGAAATAGAGCGTTTTCGAACTGGCTGCCGAGATAGGTCGATCTTCCACTCAGCCATCGATATGTATTTTTTTGTTTTTATCGTGATTATTCACTCACAGTTGTTTTCAAAACGATGGCTTCATTTTGATATGCGCGTAGTTGAGTTTAATATTTACAACTATTAAGTATTCTCATTTTTGTTGTTGGTATTTCCGACAGGGTAGGAGTGTGATGTAATGTGGAACGATTTTCCGTCATCCCTTGTCAAATTTTCAGAACGAAAAATGACACTGAAGATGGCACAACGCCGAAACCGGTTTGTCTCCAAACCAAATTTGACAAGGGATGACGGAAAATCGTTCCACATTACATCAACTATTAAGTACTTTCGTTCATGTTAATAGTAAGATCAACTACGTTTGTGTTTGATTTTACTATTCTTTCCAGGGTGTATCCGCTGTCGAAACGGTGGAATAAGTATGCTATCGATAGTTTTCCTACACTAAAGGCAAAGCATTTCTTATAATGCATAACTGAGTCTTAAAAGTAGGACGAAAAGGCTGAGCGCTTTCTTAAGAGAAAGTTGGAATTTATATAATATGTTTTAACTGTACACTGAAAAAAAGTCTAAAGTGATAGCTACAAATTATAAAGGTAAATTAGTGTATGCCCTTTATATTTAGTTTATTACCCAGTCGGCAAAATGATGGGCACTTCTGAATAAACGCTTCCAGGTGGGTATTTTCAATAAGATAAACCTTATCATGAGTTTCATTTTCCCTGAGCCAGTTCACTTTTCATTTTTCGTTTCCATGTCTTTACTATGGGCGGATGAAAAATTTTCGGTTGAATTTTTTTTCGGGCGAAAGTCAGGATAAGGCAGATTTTCTTTAAAACCTGTATTATAAGATTTTCAGGTAGGTATTTTCCAATTAGATATTCTCTTTGAAATAAAACCATCGCAGTATCCGTGTCAATGCGTAGCAGGTGTAATAGTATTTTATTTTGGGGTCAAAAATGTAATTGTTTACCATACTGAACAATTATTAGCAGTAGATCTGGTGATTTGATTCTTTCCTCTAGTCTCTAAATGACCGAAATGGGTCTTCTAATTTTACATTTTAGTGTAAAATGCAAACAAAAATTACAATTCACAGACCAAATTTACGAAAAAATCAAATCAATTGCTCTACAGCTGCGACCTGTTCAACATGCCTTGGTCCAGCGTCAGTATTATTTCATCTAAATTTTGATATTCTATTTTATACAAATATACAATTCGTGTGATCCCTGCTTACGGGAAGCTTAGAGTATCGAGCTTGGAAGGCCAATTGCTTCTATCTTGTTGCAGACTGGGTATACATAGTTCTCTACAAGGGTTGTTGCGAATATTCACATTCGCAATCGCAGCCGCGGAGCTTCCGCATTAGTATTAACATTCGCATTCGCTTTCGCATTCGCAATAATCAATGCGGAGGTTTTGCGAATGCGAATATTGTGCAAGTGCACTGATAAAACGTATATCTGGCAAAAAAAAGACAAATTGTTGCCTGTGGANCCCCCCCCCCCCCCCCCCTACGTCCCCCTTCTTTTGTAATTTAAAGTCAAAGAGTAAGATCCTTCAATAGGTATTCGCAGCGGAAATATTCAACGCCTAGCTATAAAAAAAATCGACTATTCACGCGTTAAAAGATAACCTTTAATTAAGTAAGAATTATGTAAGAATCGAATATTTTTTGCCAAAGGTCTGTTGAAAAAACTGGATGCATCGCTAGTGAAAAACGAGTTACAAGCTATTCATTACAGGTGAAGTTACCCGGGAACTAAGCAGATCTGAGACCTTCATCGTCCGTGATTCCAATAATTCAAATTATTATAAAAACAGGATGCCTTTTTACCAATATAACAAGTTTTTAAACTAATTCAGAAATTCACTAAACAGAATTTTCTTAGAAATTTTCATCCCTAGAGAATAACAATCTATTTGCCATATCGGTCTATTAAGAACCTCGCTATAAGCAGAAATTTTTCAAACCAGTCACAAAAGAAAAGATTAAAAATGAATTCCAAAAACTTAAATCGAAAAACGCTGATGACGGTAGAAATTCTGAACTACCAAAAGAATGAGAATGAAGAAATTTTTGGAAAACAATGGTGTTTAAACAAAGATCTTGCCATGATGCTAGTTGCGAAGATGAAAGTCAGGAGGGTACATCCGAAATTTGCAGCCTCGATGCAATTCTCAAAAAGTAATTATTGCATCCGCATTCGCATCCGCGGATGTCTAAAATTCCACATTCGCAACATCCCTATTCTCTACATACGTACTAAATTTGCACATATACTTGTATATATTTAGGTTTCATGTTTCTTAATAAATTTTTTTTATTATCCATTAAAGGTGATGCTGTCTCAACACACCAAATCCCAATTCCTGACCCAAATCGCCCGGTTTGGTCGACTTCTTTTGATGCTGCCGCTTCTGCGAACTGTGAATTCACATAAAATCGAGCTGATATATTTTCAACGTACAATTGGAAATACACCAATGGAGAAAGTGCTTTGCGATATGTATAAAAATTAAACTATTGTTTTAACCAAATAAACTTTTATTATTAGAATATTTGTATAAAGAATTTATTACAAGGAGGAATATGTGCAATGACATGCAACAACCGCACCTCAGGTTAAGCGGGCATTCTTAATTTTATATCATGCATAGACTGTATACACTGTTGAAAATTTTGGAAAAATCTTTGTTTAAAAGTCGTAAAAATCTGTTTTTCGGCGATATTTGAAAGGAGAAAACCACTTTAAACTCACATAAAAAATGATAGCAAGTCTGTTCTTAAGATACTAATAAGGTGTCGAATTTTCTAGGATATAGCTTTAAAATTTAGTAAAGGTGTGTATCTGAAAGCCAATCAACGGAACATTTACAAAACCGCATTTCATAGTGATAGTAATTTGAATCAAATATGTAGGAAGGTACGTACAGCAATTATAAAACTCGGTGATAAATAATATAATGTATTTCTAATGAGTCTTAGATTCTATTTCTGTTTAAAATGCAATCAGAATTCCAATGTATCCTAAAACTCGAAAAACTCCATATTAAATCACATTCATTCTTGCATTACTGGTAATGTAAAAATGAATGCCCCACTTTTCTTATGACATCGACGTGGGAAAAATAATGCATTTTCTTATGTGAAAACGACTGTTTTAGCGATTATTTTTTCGATTACTACCCAGTGGGAAAAGTAGTAATGCATTCCATAATCGAATGTATTTCTTATGAGTTTTACATCCAATTACTGTTTAATATGTAATCAGCATTCTAATGTATTCAAAAAGTCTCAAAAATTTGATATTAAATCACATTCATTTCTCGATACCAAGTAATGCAAAATTGAATGCCCCACTATTCTTAGGACATCGCCCTGGAGAATAAAATGGATTTTCGAATGTGAGAAGGGTTGTTTTACTGATTATTTTTTCGATTATTATACATTACATTTTCCCACTGGGTATACATTACTTTTTCCCACTGGGTAGAGTAATCAGCGCATTAAAAACAAAGTTGATGCTTCGTTTGTTTTTAGTTGCGATTGGTGTCGTGAAAATGGAAAATTACGAAAAGTTATTCATTTTTATATTGAATATTTAAAATATGCAATGTATATGGTATGCAAACGTCGTATTGGTACGTTTTGGAAGTCAGCCTTTCGTATCTTTGTGCAATATAAACCGCATTACTTTTAGAACAGTAAAAAAAGTGACAACTAGATCGCAATATCTAGATAATATTAAATTCTGTCCTGTCACATCACAGGATGTCGAAAGGTCGCTTTCTGTCTATTCGGCGCTCTTAAACGACCAGCGCAGATATTTATTATTAGAGAATATCAAGCAACACGTGATTGTCCAATAGGAGCCCGTAAAATCTTAAACCGTGTAAAACTCGTAATTTTACGAGGCTGTTAAAGGAACGCTCCCTTTGTGTGCATAGGTGCGTAACAGGGCTGCATAACTATATAAACAAAAAAATTTCGTTTCGTTATTTATTAAAAAAAAAATCTTATAAAATGTTTCATTTGCTTATTAGCAATAAACAAAATATGAAAAGAAAAATAGTTTCGTTAGTTATCAAAAAATGTTAACAAAAAAACTTTCGTTTCGTTGATTCTAGTAGTTACCAGCTCACTGATAAACAAAAATTTTCAGGTAAAAGTGTCACCGTTTTTGAAATATTTACATTTTTTCGAATTTAAAAAAAATCGTGCCTTTTCATGTGTTTTCCTTAACTGCAACTACAAACCGGGCAATACTTAGAAAATTTGTTATGTAAAATACTTCCAGATAGTTGCCTCTCCATACTCAAATGCAATGTAGTTAAAATATATTAAGGAACCATCATAAAATTAGGACTATTTCTGGATTTTTATCTTTTTGATATTTTCTTCCCCAAATTTGACTATCTCGGGTAAAAAAAAATGTATATTCGCCCGGACCCATAGGGAAATATATGAAAGTAAGTGATTTTTACACCTTTCTGGTTTGCTTGCTTGTTAACTATCATTTTTCACTTTTTTAAGGTCGCATACCGGGAAAGCGTGGCGACGAAACAGGACGTCCTGCAACGGTAGATGTTGAAGCTGTGTTAGAGGAAGTGGAACAGGGTCCATCGACTTCAGTGAGAATGATGGAAAGACGGACTGGAATACCAAAAATACCATATACCAATACAGTTCACAAAGCTTTACAAGACCATCGGTTTCATCCATACCACATTCAACGTGTTCAGACTCTACAAGAAAGAGATTACCTGTTGAATTTAGGTTAGACGATTTCCGTTTTTATGCTGCCTATAAGGAGTCTTTATTTGAAGTGAGAAAATATTCTTAGTACTTGATACAAGTGTATAAGTTACAATAGACAATTCGTTATAATATGTGTGAAATACAATAGAGGGCGTTATAATATGTGTGAAATACATTAGAGGGCGTTATAATACACAGGGTTGAATGTGAGCATTGGAATCACTTCGTATATTCTAACACCTCCCCTCGAAATATTTCAATTGCTGCACAAAGTGTTGTTAGCCTCTTTCATGCCCAAGTCTAAGATGCATTTGTAATGTTTCTGCGAAGGTAATCCCTTAGTTAGCACATCAGCTGGCATTTCCTCCGTTGACATGAATTGTAAACTGATATCGCCGTTTTTGTACTTCTCACGTATGAAATGATGACGAACATCTATGTGCTTCGTATGTGAATGGTGTGCCGAACTTTGTACTAGGTTTTGTGCACTTTGGCTGTCGTTATATACTGTGACACAGGTTTGTTGCCATCCAATTTCATTCAAAATTTCGCGCAAGTAAAGCGCCTCTTTGGTTGCTTCGCACAGCGCCATATATTCCGACTCTGTGGTAGACAGTGACACTATGCGCTGCTTTCGCGCCTCCCATGATATTGGGGCGCCGGAGAGAATGAAAGCGAAGCCTGAATAAGAGCGCCTATCAGCTAAATTTGCTCCCCAGTCGGCATCAGCAACGCCATACAGCTCCAAGTGAGTTCGCTCGTACAACAGGCCGTAATTGATAGTGGCCTTCACATACCGCAGCACTCTCTTAGCGGCTTTCCAGTGCTCTGAGCTGTAATTGGAAATGAATTGGCTTAAATAACTCACCGCAAATGCAATATCAGGGCGCGTTGTAACGGATAAATACATCAGAGCGCCTATTAAGTTTTGATAAGGATAGGCTTTCATTTCGCTTGTGTTTTCCTTAGCTGGTTTTTCCAATTTGCCATTCAGTTCCATTGGAGTTTGTATATGTTTTAACCGGGCCAATGTCCTTCATTTCGAAACTCTCAGCTAGGGACTGCTTCACTTGCCGCAACCACTGTTCATCCTTTGATGCCATCAGCAAATCATCGACGTAAATCGTAATAAGCATTAGCTTCTCATTTTTCCTCATAAAAAATAAACATGGATCACGCTTCGATGGTGTTAAGCCAATATTTAGTAATTTAGCCGTCAGCTTCTGATACCATTGGTAACCAGATTGGCGCAGACCATATAAAGATTTTCTGAGTCTACATACCGGCTTATTACAGCTATCCAGTTGTTTTTGCCATGTCTGAGCCGTCCTCTGTATGCGTTTTCCTTTCGGACCCTGTGTTGGTTCAGACTCCTTTAATGCTACCTTCTTTAACACCACATCAAGATATTCAGGTACTTCCATATAGACGTCTTCTTCAAGATCGCCGTTCAAATACGCTGTAATCACGTCCATCTGGTGTATCCTCAAACCCATTTCTGCTGATAGTGCTGCCACAAGTCTGACAGATGCAAGGCGTGTAACTGGAGAATACGTATTGGTGAAGTCCTCCCCTGGACGTTGGGAGCAGCCTTTCGCAACAAGGCGTGCTTTCTTTACATTTCCCTCTTTTGTGCGAAAAACAAAACGGCTTCCAATGACTTTTCTATCAAGAGGGCGCTCAACAACGTCCCATGTGTTGTTTGATAGTTGCGCGAAGTACTCATCTTCGATTGCGCGCAGCCAAGCAGAAGCTTCATTGCCATTTGAAGCCTCGTATATTATTGTCGGGTCGTTGTTAATCGCCAAAGTTGCAAATTCACAGTCTTGAAAATCTACGCTGTTATCAGAATCGTTAGTGTCGCCAGCTTCTTCCATTATGTTTTCAATGGCTTTTTGGTATATTTTCTTTGGGCGCCCTGGCAACCCTTTTCTGTCCAATCGTGGCCTACCTCTACTACGTGGTTCGTTTTTAACATTAACGTTTTCTGTTTTACTCACATCCTCTTCTGACACAGATAAATCGTCATTTGGTCGCACACCCAATTCAATTATTTGTTGCTCAAATGGCTTATTTATGTCATTCTTACAACCGTAAAACATTTCACTGCAAAATTTTACATCGCGACTAATGACTACTCGTCGCTTATCCGGCGACCACAAACGGTAAGCCTTGGCTTCGTTGGAGTACCCAACAAGAACGCACGCTTCTGAGCGAGAGTCGAATTTGCCATTAGCTTTGCCCTTTATCAACACAAATGCCTTGACACCAAACGGCTGCATGTGCACAACAGTAGGTGTTTTGCCCGTCCAAACCTTAAGTGGTACTTCACCGCTCAGAGATTTTGTTGGACACCGGTTCCTTGTGTAATTGGCCGTATTTACAGCCTCGGCCCAAAACGGCTGCGGTAAATTTGCTTGCTTTAACAGACACCTGGCCATCTCTATTAGTGTGCGGTTTTTGCGCTCAGAAAAGCCATTCTGCTGCGGCGTATGCGGCGCTGTCAATCGCCTCTTAATACCACAATCATCTAAATATTTCTCAAAATCGCGATTTATGTACTCCCTGCCGTTGTCGGATTGCAGTGCCTTTAATTTTCTGCCAGTGATTGTCTCAGATGAATTCTTAAATTTTTTGAACATCTCTAACACTTCAGACTTATGCTTGATGAAGTAAACATCACTGTATTTGGAGTAGTCATCTGTGAAGGTTACAAAGTACTTAGCGCCGGAGTGAGAACCTGTTCTCATCGGCCCGCAAACGTCTGTGTGCACGATTTCAAGCAAATCTGTGCTATGGCGTTCTCCAT